CATTATATTTCTCCAACTGCTTTTTTCTTTGATCTGAGCCTTGAGGGGCCACTGGGTGATTGCTCGTACACTAACCAGGCTGCATGGGGTGAAGGGAGGCCTGGAGAGTGGCGGGAGGGTGTGAGAGGGTACTCACGTGGGCATGGGTCTCATAGGGACCAAAGTTGATGCTTGCATGGGCCTGGGACTCAGGAATAAAAATGTGGGCAGGGGTTCCTGAGATACTGTAGTACCTCTCTGCCTTTGGAAGAGATAGCATGGAAATAGACCCCTGCCTTTTACATTTTTTTCCTGCTGTCCTATACGTTCTCCTTTTACCATTTCTTCCTCTGAATTTTCCTTTTCCTTGACTCCTTCCCACCCTCGCAGTCTCAGAATTCTGCAAGATCAGAGAATACCATATTACTGATCTCCCGTTTAGTCTCTGAATCTGCTTTGGAGCCAGGTGAGGCCCTGAGCAAGCCCGTGGTCAAGATTTCCTGGCTGAAAAGCTGTCCTTTAGCTTCCTGGGCTGGGGATAGCCTCTAGTCCTGGCTGAACTGACTGTTACCATCAGAGTGGGAACATTTCCTGGCTACTTCCCACCACCTGGACCCTATCCCAGACTTGGACATTTGGGGAGAGTTGACCACAGTTTCCTCACATAGAGGAAGATTTCTGACTAGTCTATTGGTTTCTGAGTAGTTCATCATGTCTTCAGGCACAATTAGCTCTTACCACGTGCTTGATCCTGGAGGGAGTGAACACTGAGGAAACTTTGGTCTGGGTAGAAGAGAGGATAGCCCAACTGATTCAAAGTGAAACATGGACATGACAAAACAGAGAAGACCTGGGGGTATTCAAAGCCAGGGAAACAACCACATCTAGGGACAGGGTCATGTTCCTTGAATATAATGAAAACCAGTGATTCCAGGGTCCTTTCAAGATAACTTTTAGTTCGCGATACCATTACAAAATAATGGAATTGGAAGGACATGGGGGTATCAGGTGGAAAGACCATTATTACCAGATGTGTGTGATTTCCTGACTTTTCAAGAGGCCTGGATTCTATCCCACCTCTGAGTGCAGGACATGGACAGAAAACTGTGGCAACCAGAAAGCTATGTGACATTCAGCACATGATGACAGTATACTAACTTCCCTGCTCTCCCCGAAAGCACAACCAACCTACTTTCCTAGAGAGGACTTTCAAGTAGCTAAATTTTAAAGACATACAGTTTTACTCTGTAGCTGAAGCTGACTGTGAACTTGCAATTCTCTTGCCTCAGCTCCTGGGTAGTTGGGATTATAGTTATGTACTCCCAGGCCCAGATATCTTATCTTCTTCTTCTATTTTTTTTTTTTTCTGCCTTTTTTGAGACAGGGTCTCCCTGTAGCCCCAGCTGGCCTGGAGACCAGGCTAGCCTCACAGAGATCCTCCTGCCTGCCTCTGCCTCCTGAGTGCTAGGATTAAAGGTGTATGCTGCCATGCCTCGCCAAACTTCTTATATAAACATTTTTCAAAGAATATAATTTAGGCCTTTGTGGAAAAGTTTGAGAAGATAAGTATTCTTTTCCCTTGGAAAAAAGTAGAAGCTGGGTGTGGCACCATATACCTGTTGATACTAGCACTCAGGAGGCAGAGGCAGGAGGATTTCTTTCTTTTTTAAAAATATTTTATTTATTATTTTTATTTTATGTGTATGAGTGTATTGCCTGCATGTATGTGAGCGCACCCGTGTCGTGCAATGCCAAGGAGGTCAGAAAAGGGCTTTGGATTCCCCTGGAACTGGAGTTAAGGACAGTTCGTAGCCGCCATATGGGTGCTGGGAATCGAACCTGGGTCCTCTGCAAGAGCAGTCAGTGCTCTTAACCGCTGAGACATCTCTCCAGCCCTGAGGCAGGAGGACTTCTACATTTTGGAGGCCAGGTTGGTCTACATAGTAAGTTTAGACCAGCCAGGGCTATGTAGTGAGAACTATCTCAAGAGAAAAAAAAAAAAAAAGGAATAATTGACCTGTTGGATATCTAGCACGAGCACTTGTCTCTGCAAATTTTCTTTCTTCCTCTTTTTCTCTTTCTCTCTGTCTCTTGAGACAGGATATCTCTATATAGCTGTGGCTGGCCTTCAACTCATGATCCCTTTGCCTCCATATCCTTAGTGCTGGATTACAGGCATGTGCTACCATGTTTGGCTTTTTTTAGATAATTTTCTTGAAGCAGTTTCTTTATTTTCTTATGTAATCAGTAGCTGAAATGGTATTCTTAGATTTATCCATACAACTTTCTACCTAAGAGCCTAAGCTGAATCCGCATCCAGCTTATGTTCATGGTTGAGATAAGGATTCAGAATATTGCTGGGCATGGTGGCATAAGCCTTTAGTCCCAGCACTCTGGAGGCAGAGGCAGGTAGATCTTTGTGAGCTCAAGACCAGCGTGGTCTACATAGAGAGAGTTCCAGGACAGCTGGGGCTACAGGGAGACCCTGTCTCAAAAAGCAACAACAATAAAACAAAACAAAATATATAGAGAGGGCTGAAGAGCTGGTTGAGTAAAGTGCCATGGAAGTGTAAAGACTTCTATATCCCTGGCATCCAATTAAAAAAAAAAAAAAATACCAGAGAGGTAGCTCAGAGCCGGAGAAATGGCTCAGCAGGTAAAGGCACTTCAAGCCTGGCAAGGATCCCCAGAATCCACATAAAGGTATGAAGAGAGAGAAACAACTACCGAAAGTTGGCCTCTGACCTGTACATGTGCTGTGGCATATGTGGACCCCCCCCCCAAACACACACAAACACAAAAGGAAATAAATACATTTAATAAAATATCTTTAATAAAACCCCAAGTCTGTTTCAGACAATAAGCAAAGACAAAACAAAATTATGTAGAGAGGACTTAACAAAAGTTGAGCTATGTTTAACTTAGAAATTTCTAGGAATTGTTAATTGAGATTTGGTATTCCCCAAAGTCAGAAATTGCTATTAGTATGATAGGAACAAGTAACATTTTAAAGCCTGTAAATCCCAGATACTTAGGAAGCTGAGGCAGTTGGATCACAAATTCTAGGCTAGCCTAGGTAGCAAAACTCTGTTTAAAAAGAAAGAAAAAAAGAAAAAATATTTTTAGATGTTTTATTCTGAGTTTTCATGGAGTTGACAGCCTAGATCCCAAAGAGTACTTTATTTCTAAATGGCGTTAAGGGAAAGAAAAGATGCCTGTTCTATTTGACAAGTGGTTTCTATGGGAGAGGGTACTGCAAAGAGTGCCACAGAAGGCATCTAACTCTGGTGTATGAAAGGAAAATCCTCATCCTGGGTAGAGTTTAGAGGGAGGACTCTTGTTAACTCCCCCAGTGCCTAAGTGTCTGCATTCCTGTGGAAGCCACAGCTAGATAACATTAATCCAGAAGTCTTACTCAATTCTAGACACTTCTGGGATACAAACTTTCTCTTAAAACTCAAGTGCAGGGACTGGAGAGATAGCTTAGTGGTTAAGAACACTGGTTGTTCTTGCAGAAGACCTGGGTTTGAATCCCAGCGCCGACATGGCAGCTAACAGCTGTCCGTAACTCCAGTTCCAGGGGATCCGACGGCCTCTTCTGTCCTCACAGGCATTGCATGACACGGTGCACTTACCTACATGCAGGCAATACACTCATACACATAAAATAAAAATAATAAAACAAACCTCCAGTGCAGTATAATATTCACAGAAAAGATATACTGAATGCAGATCCTCTGCCTGAAGAATATGTAGTATACCTCTTGTTTGCTTGCTCTCCCACAAACTCTCACTGTCCCTGGTGGAGAGTCATGAACAGGTAAACCATGGCTCTTGGGGTCCACCCCATCCTCTGAGACCCAGGGAAGGCCAACTTGGAATGATTTGTCTTTCTCTACAGTTCCTTATGCTTCTGTTGACTTTCCCCCCCTCACAGTCCTCCTGCTGCTCACAAAGGGTGTGTGCCCAGGGAGGGGAGGAGGGCTGGGCACAGCTTGTGCACCACACAACCTGGCTATGTGGTTGAGCTTCACGCCTGGGAATGCACTGTCTTTGCTGGCCCAGGAAAGGGTTTGGCACTGTTGTTTGCTTCCTGTGCCCAGGAAGGAGGGAACTATACGCCCTAAGAATTGTTGGTGAGTTTGGGGTAGAGACAGTAAGCCCACAGATATGCCTGAGTTCTAGAACATGGACTGTCACTGGGAACTAAGAGTCCTGGCTTTTGCAGGGGTCTGTTTGTGGCTTGGCAGTCCTGCTGGTTGGTTCTGATGCGGCCAGCCCTATTTTCACTTCAGCATGGTGATATACATTGATGGAGCAGGGGAGCCATAGCTGGGTTTCTAGCGTTGGTCCACAACCCTATTTGGGATGAAAATTCATTTGAGCCTCTCTTCTCATATCCCACAAATTATGGTCCCTTTTTGGTTCAAGGCCCCTGATATTGACTAGCTCATTCTTCATCTACTGAAAAGCTCAAGCTCTGGGAGAGGCTCCTGTGTTCTCAAGCCTCTGAATTCTTGAGGGTTGTCTGGCTTTTCCCTCTTTGGCATGGCTGTGTTATGCTGGTGCCCCATCTCTGAGGCTTGACCGATTCACATGTATGTCTCTCCTATGCACCAGCTTCCCTGGAGATGAAAAATAGAGGGTGAAGCCAGTTCCCCTGATTCACATGTATGTCTCTCCTATGCACCAGCTTCCCTGGAGATGAAAAATAGAGGGTGAAGCCAGTTCCCCTTTCCCCACAAAGGATAGGATGGGGACATGTGGGCTACTGGCAATGTTGTTAGCCACCTGCTTATTGTAATGGTACTGGGTCAAGATTCCATTCAGCCTCGTGGTACCTACTCCTAGCTTGTTCAAGGGGCCCGGGAGCTCTTGAAGACCTGCTCAGGGATGCTCAGGAACTTTGGCCATAGTATGACAGACAGACATGGTAAGACTTAAACCACCTTGGGTGAAGGCCAAGCTAGAGTGTATTTTGCAGGGGAGGGCTGCTCTGAATAGTTTTTTGCCTTTCCTAGGAGCACCTTCTGCTCCATCATTGCTCAGCTCACAGAAGAGACCCAGCCACTATTTGAGACCACGCTCAAGTCCCGGGCTGTGTCTGAGGATAGCGACGTCAGGTTCACCTGCATCGTCACAGGTAATGAGACTGTTGGTATGGTCCCCACCAGGGCCTCTGCACAGAGCAGGGGACTAGAAATAGGCATGGAGGGGTGGTGATTTATGTGTCACAAACTGACTGAATTGACTTCTGCTTTCTTTCCAGTTTAATCTCTCTGTGTGGGCTGGTGTCCTCCTTCCCTTTCTCTTTTTCTTGAGCTACAGTGTACTTTGTTTTTCTTTTTCAAAACCTGTTCTCAGGGCTAGGGATGAGCTCAGTTGGTAGATCTGGTTCTGACCTGGGATCTTGCCTAGCATACATGAAGCCCTGGATTCTATCCACAGCACCACATAGACTATGCATGGTGGTGCATGCTTGTAATCCTAGCACTTGGGAGGTAGGACAAAGAAGATCAGAAGTTCAGGGTCATTCTCAGCTACAAGGTGAATTTGAGGCCCAGCCCAGGTTATTTGAGCCCTGTCTCAAAAAACAAAGACAACAAACCCCAAAAATGTGCTCATCAAAGTTTCTTCTCCCTCAGATACACTCAGGAGTGGTGAGAGGCCATCTACTGAACATTGCATTTTATAGTTGAGCCATTTGGGGCTGGCAGTACCCAACCTAAGAGGTAGTAACATGTAGTGGTTCCAACTGCAGACCCTGGAGCCAAATTACCTGGCTTGGAACCCTGGCTCAACAATTCCTAGTACATGGTGTTAAGCAGGTTGTATGTAGCTGCTTCATCAGTAAGTAAGGGTAAGAACAATGTGACTTTATAGCATTATGAGACTGAGCAAGTTAACTGTAGTTTAGGAATATGAATGAGCATACAGGAGTATCATGAAAGTGTTAGGAATTATATACTACAGTAATTTGCATTTTACTGAGCCCCTTAGTGGGCTTTTAAGCAAAGTGATACACCTTAGTAGCAAGAGATTAGGTGCTGGGTAGTCCTGGGAAGCTGGCTCTAGGCATTGTTTCTTCCCCACACTTCCCAGCACAGCTTCCCTCTGCCCAGGGCCTGCAGGATATTCTCCCCCATTGGTTCCTACTCCTCTAGCAACACACTCACTAGTTCAAAGGACTCAGCCTAGCTTTCTCCAAAAACCCTCTTTTTTTTTTGATTTTTGTTTTTCCAGCCAGTCAAGGGTATGGGTGCTTCCCAGGTGCAATGTCCCTTGATTCTGAGGGACTTGTTTTGCCCAACCAGCTAAGCAGCATTTTGGGGATTGGTTTTCCCTGGACAGTTAGTTGTCCCATTTTCCAGGACCCTCTATTACCAGACTGAGAACCATGTACTGGTGGGACACTGACTCTCCTGTATCCTTTACCTTTGTATGGCATGATAAGTTTTGCAAATGAATTCTTACAAAACTCTGTGAAGTAAGTGCTATTATTAATCCAGCTTTGCAAGGAAGAAGCTCTAAGAGGCTAGATGACCCGCCCAGGTCAGTGGGAGGTAGTACTTTTGTCACACGTGTTGCCTATGCCTGTGGCACTATGACACCAAAGGCTTCCATGCTTTCTCATATGCAACTTTATTTAGAATGTTCTTTATCCTTTAAAGAAGGTTAGGGATTGGGTATATACCTTAGTTGGTAGAGTGCTTGTATAGCATGCATGAAACCCTGGATTCAATCCCCAGTACTACATAAACCAGTCATGGTAGGGGACACCTGAAATCGGAAGTGGAGGCAGGAGGATCATGAGTTCAAGGTTATCCTTGATTACACAGCTAATTTGAGGCCAGCTTGTGATACATAAGACCCGATCTTAAATAATTTTATTTTAATCAAATTAATACATGTACATAGTTTAAGACTTCAAATTATACTAAAAAATATTTATGCAAATATATCAGTTCATTCCTCCCACCAATCTGTCTTCCAGAAGCAAGTATTTTTCAGCTTTTGCTGTCTTTTCTGGTATGAATGCCTCTCCATAGTGCTAAGTGATACGTACATACTTCTAACTTTCAAGTCTGAGTTTTAGATATTCTTTATTGTCTGTTACAGTGGATAAGGATCTACCATCATCTTCTTGATTTCCTCTCATTTGGCTTCTCCCTTATAGTTTCATCATAAGTTTTGCGTAAATCAGTATTTTTTATTTATTTTTTGGTCTTTGAGACAGGGTCTCCCTGTAGCCCCAGCTGTCCTGGAACTCACTATGTAGACCAGGCTGGCCTCGAACTCACAAAAATCTGCCTGCCTCTGCCTCCCAAGTACTGGGATTAAAGCTGTGCGCCACCACGCCTGGCCTTAAATCAGTATTTTTTAGACAGGCATGTAGCTTAGTGGAAGAGCACTTGCCTGGCATGTACCTTTATACCTGGGTTCTAACCCCAGCACTGCAAAACAAACAAACATTTACTCATTATTACATTTGCCTTGTTATGTCTATGTGTTATGATTTATGTAGGAATATTATAATATACCACTTTATAGTGCAATAGTATATTATAGTCATGCCATATTAGCATGTATATTGTAATCATGCTGTATATGATTAAGAGTAGGAGACCGCCAGGCATGGTGGTGGCGCATGCCTTTAGTCCCAGCACTCAGGAGGCAGAGGCAAGCAGATCTCTGAGTTCAAGGTCAGACTGGTCTACATAGTGAGTTCCAGGACAGCTGGGGCTACAGGGAGACCCTGACTCAAAGAGTAGGAGACCAAGCCAGGAATGGTGGTACATGTCTAAATCTTAGCACTGGGGCATGTAGGTCCTGAATTCAAGACCAGTCTGGCCTATGAAGTATGACCCTGAGTTTAGGTTTAAGAAAAGAATAGAAAGCTGGGCATGGTGGCGCATGCCTGTAGTCTCAGCACTTGGGAGGCAGAGGCAGAGGCAGGCAGATCTCTGTGAGTTCAAGGCCAACCTGATCTACATAGTGAGTTCTAGGACAGCTAGGGCTACAGGGAGACCCTGTCTCAAAAAAAAAAAGAAAAAAAAAGAGAAGGGACTGGAGAGATGGCTCAGTGGTTAAGAACACTGGCTACTCTTCCAGAGGACCCGGGTTCAAATCCCAGCACCCACATGACAGCTAACAACAGTTTATAAATCCAGTTCCAGGGAATCTGATCTTCTCTTCTGGCCTCTGTGGGCACTGCACAACATGGGTGCACTTACATATATGTAGGCATAACATTCATACACATTAAAAAAAAGAGTAGGAGCTGGGTGGGGTGGTGCACTCCTTTAATCCCAGCACCTGGGAGGCAGAGGCAGGCAAATCTCTGTGAGTTTGAGGCTAGCCTGGTCGACATAGTGAGTTCTAAGTCAGTTGGGGCTATAGGGAGACCATGTCTTACCCCCAAACCCCCCCCCCCAAAAAAAAAAAAGATGATAGGAAGTTCTGAGCAAGTAGGATGGGTCTGAAAACTTGGATCTTCACTGTAGGGAGACCTGGAGAGCCACTGTTGGGAAGTGCCAAGTACAAGTATGTTTCTTTAGTTTTTTCTTTTGGATTGGTAAGGCTCATAGGGAAAGGTTTTTCTGGGAGTTGTTCAGATTAGACCATTGGGTAGCCTCTCAGCATAATGCTTATTACAATGTAATTATTTTATAATTAGGGTTATTACCTTCTGTGTTTTCCATTAAATAGTCATGTTATCAACTATGGGTACTTACCTTCAGGTTACACTTTCAGATAATAAAGGAGCATTCCTTCAGCAGTATGGAGTAGGTGAAGAATCCCAAATAGCTGAGGGCTTTTTCCAGTGTTATTGTTATTTATGGCTTTTCGTTTTTGTTCTTTGTTTAGTTGGTTGGTTTTTTGAGACAGGATCTCCATATAGCCCTAGCTGGCCTGGAACTCAATATGTGGACCAGGCTGGTCTCAATCTCACAGAGATCCACCTGCCCCTGCCTCCTGAGTCTCCTGAGTGCTGGGATCTAAGGCATGTGCCACCACACCTGAATTTGTTTATGGGGTTTTTTTTGGGGGAGGGGATCTTTTTGAGACAGGGTCTCCCTGTAGCCTCAGCTGGCCTGGAACTCACTGTGTAGACCAGGCTGGCCACGATCTCACAGAGATCCGCCTGCCTGTGCCTCCTGAGTGCTAGGATTAAAGCCAGTGCTAGGATTAAAGCCACCACTCCTGGCTCCATCTTTTTTTTTTTTTTTTTTTTTTTTTAAATAGAAGAAAGAGTTCATTTGGATTTACAGTTCCAAAGGGATAAGAGCCCATCATGGTGGCAAAGCATGATGGCAGAAGTGGTTGGAGCAGAAAGCTGAATGCTCACATCTTTAAGCATTCACAAGAAGCAGAGAGTAATTATTTTATGTGTTGTGCTTTTTGAGAAAGAATTTTTTCACATATAGCCTAGACTGTCCTGGAACTCGCTATGTAGCCTCCTGAGTCACTAGGATTATAGCTGTGGATATCTAGTCTGTGTTTTGTTTTGTTTTGTTTTTAAGACAGGGTCCCAGTGTATAGCCTAGGCTGGCCTCAAATTGAAGATCTTCTTGCCCAAGCCTCCTGAGTGCTGGGACTATAGGTGTGTCTCGCCAGGCCCAGCATTCTATTTATTTTTAGTTTTTGGTTTTTTGAGACAGGGTCTCAAGTGTTCCCTAGTGCTGCGATCAGAGGTGTTTTTAAACAATTTTTATGTTTACTTCCTTACCTTTCAACCCCAGCCACCAGTTCTTATGTTCTGTGGGAATTTTCTGATGTTAATGGGCTATTTCTGAGTTTTCCCCACTGCTAACTTAGTGTTTAGCTCTCTTGGGATGTCATCACTTTCTACTTTCCCATCTGCTGTCCTATTTACAAAATTTTGTTGCTTCAGTTTCTCTTCTATTTTCTCCATTCTCTTGGAGGTGAGCGTGTGCACACACACACACACACACACACACACACACACACACACACGAGCATATTCATTCTGCTACCTAGAAGCCACCACGGCTTTGTCTTCAGCTCTTTCAAGATTGGATTCAGAAGTTCACTCCTGGAAGACTGTCTCCAGCATTTTCAGGAGAGCTTCTGATCTCTCCCCCACAGCACAACTTCTTTTTAGATACATCTCTTCCTCGA